AAAGGCAAAGCCTATTGGGACTAATTGAATTGTTGACATGCTTCATGTTGTAATTAACCGTACAAAACTAGATTTTGGTTCGGAAATATTAATTGTTTGATAGAACAAAGTTGGACTCCTTGAACTTTAGAAATTTCTTTATTTTTTATATTTTCTAATTTATTAGTCTTAATTTCAGTTATATTAATCTTATTATTGTTTGTTTCAGATGTCAAAATAATAATTAGAATTCCAGTTAACAGGTTTGAGCTTTAGTTTTCTTATCTAAAATATATAATTTTCAATTATCTTATGTTTCTTCTTTCTTTCCACATCTCGGTGTAACTCTTACCGGCACTTACTAAGCACGGGCTGTCTGGAAAAGATCGACCCGTTGCAGTGAGCCCTTGATTTATTACTTTGTTATATGTTTATTGTTTTCTTCAGTACAAAGAAGTGTAAAAGATAACCATTCGCTTTCGTCGCTTTGTGTGTCTACGACATACGAGAGTTGTACCTTTAAATCTTTTAAAATACGATTTCTTGTCTTGCGAACGATGCCGTGCGTGCAATAGTGAGCTTACCATACAAATATTTATCGTACTAATTGTTTCAGAGATTCGCGGTAACAATCGGAGATATATCTTTTGAGGGCTATAAAAAACTAGGGTTTCATTAATACATTGAACATAAACGCAGAAATTTCTCTTAAATTGTATTATATCTAGATGTTACGTTTTAAATATACATTTGAAAATGATTATAAAGACTCCTCAAATCCCTGGTTCGTCAATATATTTATCCTTAAGGATCTTGTAGATCCTTGATTTAGGGGAGCACCGCCCTGTTTCAGAGAAAAGAAATAAACTGAGATTCTCTTATTTCAGGTCGAGTGGCAATTAAGTAGCTTCCCTATCTTACATGTAGCTCGCATTATTAATTACTTAGTGAGAATGAATTGAAAAATCCTACCTGGAAGCAGTATTATAAAAATTACTGGTTTGATTAGAAACATTCTAATTGTGTGTGTAACACATCACAAAGTACAAGTGTAGTCTGTACATACAAGGTAAACTTTATGCTACTGTAGTAACCGCGGGGTAATTTAAAAAAAAAACGTAGGATATATTCCATTAGAGTTCGCTGGTATATTTGTCTCCCGGATCAGAATTAAGATAATACAATTTGTTCACTTTGTCCGGTCTGTTTGGTATCAACGTCAGTCCTGAGCAGGTTAGCAAAATAATTCGTATTGGATTTTGTAATCTCGTTTTGAATGTGTATCTAGAATTTTAATTATATTTTTGTGATGATGACCGAGACGCATATGTTAATTAATGTTATACAACTGAACGGTAAATGGGTATATAATAAGTAAAATAATAAGAAACTAATAAAATATACTATTGATAGTCGTATAATTTTCATCTATCGCGAGCGCGGACCATTTTGATATTGATTTAAAAACAGGAGATTCGGACGATAATAATTATATTCTTGTTAAACGGTATTAATATTTTATTTGTAATGAAGCTGTCGCGGATATGGTCTAATCTGAAAGTTATGTGTTTGCCGAACATGCTAACATTCAATAATCCATATTTACATCATAAATGCTTCGCCAGAACTCCAAGTTTCTAATCTCCGTTTAGTCACTGCGTTGAGGAGATAGTCAGCATAAGTAGATGTATAGATGGACTACATAAGCATCAAATTCGTTCGATGCCAGAATATTAAGTGTAGGGACACATAATATGTGTAGAAAGCTGACAAGGTTTCTGTTGTAGTGTGTGCCTTCGTTCTCCGTTTGTATGACAGTCGGTTCAACTAATATAGTGATCGGGGATTATTAAATTTCTACTTAGTCACATGTAACAAGTCTAAGAAATAATTTTAAACGTAGCTTAAAACGCGGAAAACAAAACAGCTACATTTGCTGTTTTGTTTACCCGCGTCTTCCTAAATATTTCACAAAAATAATTTCTAAATTAAACCTGCAACAAAATCTGCTTTTTACATAGAGACCAAGAGGTTCTTTAAACTTCTCTTTCTTATTTATTTTAGTTAAAAAAAAATGAAAACTCACCTAGTTTATGTTAACCTATAAAAATGCAATTTGCCGTTATCATATCGAAAATGTTAGTTTTCTATCTTCAATATGAAATACAAGGAAAAACAACATTTCAATGTTTGTCTGGCTGCTATCAGAGTTTCCGCGTCAATAGTCCTTTTCTCTTTTTTGTTAAAATAAACGAGACTGCAACGGGTGCTCTTTCTTTGTTGAGTTTGTTTGATCGTTGTTATTGCCTACTTAGCTAGTAACAATCAACGTTGCTCGTATATTGTGTAAATAATTTATTTAGTAAATAAATGTTTTAGTGTAAAACATTTAATTTTTGTAAATATATTAGGGAACAATTTTGGTAAGAATCAGTGTAATAAAAATACTAATATTATCATATAACAAACCATGGATTAGTTCATAACGCACGTGGCGTATTAGTCCGAAGTTCCTGGGTTCGGGTGCAGGCGTAATCACCTACTTAGCTGACAGGGGTGACTTCATAAAAATACCTACATTCTTATATTATATATAAATGTTTTAATTATTCAACTCTTAACAGAATATTTACGGAATAGTAGTCTGGAATATTCTATACCAACAAACCACAATAATGTATTAAATAATATTAAAGTTACATCCAACCTTTAATTAATTTTTAACGCAAGGAAGAGGAAATTTACTAAATAAGGGTCCCTAACGATAAGGGGAACTGGCAATTTCGTACACTGATGAAACTATTGAATTATAAGGCAGTAGCTTCATTACTCCGTTTTATAACAACTTATAAGTATAAAATTTTACATATTGAGGGAAATCTTTTGAGTTAGATAAAAATGTATAGTTTCAAAATTTTCTGCATTGTTTTAAGCAGTAAAATATAATTTCTATGCAGTTTTTAATGTTGATGTTGAGTTAAGAGCGTATATTGACAAGATTGACTGCCGCTTTAGAACTACTGTAGCAATTTTAAATTTCGAAGCGTTGCCAACAGTACAATACAGTAGGAGTACCTACAAGTTACCCTCCCGCCTGCGGCGACTGGCGACCAATAATCCATTTAGCGCGACCGCACGCGCCGCGCCGCCGGCTTGCCATGCTCTGATCGAAGCGTAATTGGGTGTACTCACCTTCCCTACCGACCGATTATAAAATAAACAGCATTCTAAAGTCATCCGCTGCGACGTAAATTAATTTCTCCTTAACGACTAACGACCTCATCCTACTCACAATCGAATTACGGCGTTTGCTACGATGTCATGCTGTGATACGAATATTTCACTTAGAAAATCAAAGTTGAGCCACTTTTGATTGATGCTCGCTTGAAATTTAGCTTTTCGTTTAAGAAGAACGTGAGGGTTGTAATCTTTTCATACTATGCCCGCAATGTGTTTCGAAATTCTATATTTACATATTAAATTATATGTAAGCAATAAGCATTCATTTCTTCCTGTCAATGTTACATTTAATTATCTTTCTGTTGCATCTGACAAGAGTAACTTTCAACATCACCCTTGGATATTCGTATTGAATATATACCTATCTATAATAAACATAACACATGTTACGAAAAAGTAATACTTTTAATTACTTCAAAAAATCCGAAAGACAATTCGTATATTATGTTTTTCTAATGCAATTTGATCTAACCATCCAAATTCGAAACCATTAAAATGATTTAAGCTAGTTAAATGGAAACATTGCAGCTAAAGTTTGAAATAGTATTGGTCCCTAGGCGCAAGTTACTCTGTCCTGTCACATGCATTGTTGAAACCGAGTATAAATGATCAAAATCCGCTCTGTACACAAGTATGGAACAAATATAAATTGATATGTCACAGTATCAAATTATACTGGAGTTGCATTGCACGCCCTGATTCGTTTGTTGTTGAGTGTACATACAATCGCAAAAAATCTAAGTAAACAATTCGCCAACACCGATATTAATGCAAAAAAGTACTAAATATTTATTAAACTCGGATCACTCACCTGTAAAAGACCAACTATCGATCTATGGGATGTTATTTAGCGATATTATTTACCGTTTTCTTTAACAACATAGTATAGTTTCCTCTTTTATTATTGGCTGCTATAAATGTGAAGCTTAGATGTTTCAGGGAGTGTTTATAAACGAAATTGCTTTATAGCTTGCGATTTGTTTGACGTTTGTTGTGTTGTTTTAAGAATACAATTGTTGTTCGAACAAATGCTGTCTTCTAGTAATGTGATGTCTCTATTAAAGCAAACCTGAACTTGAAAGCTTCAATGGTGTCATTTGTTTCCGGGAATACTTCATTGTGTACCATTTCTGTTGGCCTTGTCCGATATAGGATATCGATGCTGTTAACGAGAACGGCACGTGTAACCTTTATTAGTAAATAGATGAGTTTATAGATTTGAAAAAGTATAATTGCTTCTTTATTTGAATTTCGATTGAATATGAATTATAATATGACATCTAGATTTACGTTTTAAGTTTATCAGAACTTTATAAAAAGAAAGGAAATTACCCTTGCCGCATCGCTGACGCGTAAAGTTTTAAAACTACTGTCAAGTATTTATAGAACATATAGATATGTTTTTGTATTTATACGTGTGAATAAAGGTTATGTCCTTCATACGGATGTTCTCGTTCGGACTCGATTAATCTGTATGTGAGTAAGCAATTGAATTCGACTATCTAGTTTCTGGATTGATCCCATGACAAGAAAATTCAAAACGCATTCAATTTTATTTTACTAATGAAATCGTCAAGTCATTTGTCATATGATATCAAAATAAACAATAACTAGATTAGTATCTTTTTTAGAAATGTATGCATATAAGATACATATAAATTAGCATTACAGAATGTAGTATATATTTTTTATAATAAACTTTTTGTATGTAAATTATCATAATTTTATCTAAGTAAAACTTAAGAATTTAGACATAATATATCAAATATAAAAATATATATTTAATACGGTGTTGTAGTTTTCGGAACTTTTAAAACTTTCCTTCTTTCCGGTGCAGTTTCAATATCCACGGGCGGGGGCTGAAATGAAAAGATTTATTTATGTAAAAAATATTCAAAGTAATAATAAACGTAAGAAAAGAAATACCTCTTCATTTCCATTTTTATCATTGTCTGTACTTTCTTCAGCCGGAGTAACGAACAAAGCGTTTGTTGGCTCTGGAATTTTGTACGTTCATAATATTTATTTATTTTATAGTTATTATTGATGCGAGGATCGAAAGTATGCAAGTTATTGTAAACTTCTTAAGAGGGTTATTTGCAAGATTAAAATTTCATTTGCGGTAAGGTAGTTTTGTATAAATTTTGACAATTGACATATCATTACAATTACAATATTATTCGTTTTCCCTAATTTAATTAATTGCCATTGAAATCTTATTTGAATCCCTAACGATCGTGCGTTGTTTTGAAGGGAATCAAACCCAAGGAGACAACAAATATATTGAATCGTCGTATCTAAAATAAGATAAACGTTAAAAATACATACTATTAGCTTGAACCATTGCAATGTTATTAAAATATTCGGAGAGGCTTTCCACCCTTTCAATTCTATTTCCTCCCTCTGAAAAGGGTAAATGTTAGAATTCTGTTTATTTATAAATGCCTGTTTAAAATAAGCCCACCCTTTGAAAATATTCTTATTTCAAAAATTGCTCTTGAGCGGAAATAAAGTAAAAAATACAAGTTTTATAAAAAAACAACACCATGAATCAATAATTTTGTACCTTCGTTTCTCAACTTTATAAGCAGTGTCATTAACGTTAATTCAATGAAGTTGTAATTTTATTAGGAAAATATAAAAATGCGATAGTCTGTAAAAATACTTACTTAAAGGCTGTATTTTGAGACGAATTACACGGTTTTCCACTGTAAAAAGACCAAGTTTTAACACACGCAAATTATCAATTAATGCCATGGATACTTACATATTTTTTCTACTTCTTCGTCTATGAGTGATATTCCTACTGAAATTAAATGAGGTAAATAAAGCATATAACAAATGATATATATCATTTTTTTTTTACTCACACATCTTACGAAAATCCTGAACTGCTTTCGAATGTTGGTCGCTTTTGTGTGGCACTTCGATATCTGTAAAAAATATATTTCTCAAACATGAATAACTGGTAAAAATGTAATATATTGCCATTGATTATTATATAGATTAAACGTGGTAAGGAAACTACCGCCTAAGTTTACCCACACAATGTACTGGTACAAGTTATAACCCTAGTTTCATTTCCGGATAAATCATTTCTGGGTGTCAGGTTGGTTGTCTGATCAACACAAAACAAAATACATATTAGGTATAAACTAGAAATAATTTTTCTTTGTATCGTTATTTGTATGCCTTCAAGTTTTCCCTTTCAACAATACAAAGCAATTAAACTATTAAATGGAGCGATAATTTTATGATTGAACTCACATTCAGCTTTAGTTGCTTTTGTATCGTTTATGCACTGAGTATAAACACGACACGTGTCAAGTTCAGTTGGAGATGTGCACTCGTATCTCCAATGACACGCTGGCTTCTGCTTGCCATCTGAAGAATTTATATACGTTATTTGGATAAATAAGATTGTCGTACATACATAATAAATACATTTACTTATTTTACTATCGCCAGCAATGGAGAGCAGTGTTGGCCTCGTGGCTTCAGCGTACGACTCTCATACCTGAGGCCGTAGGTTCGATCCCCGGCTGTGCACCAATGGACTTTCTTTCTATGTGCGCACTTATCATTTGCTCGAACCGTGAAGGAAAACATCTTGAGGAAACCGACATGTCTTAGAGCCAAAAAGTCGACGGCGTATATCAGGCACTGGAGGCTGATCACCTACTTGCCTATTAGATTTAAAAATAATCATGAAAAAGATTCAGAAATCTGACGCCAAGACCTAAAGAGATTGTAGCGCTACTGATTTATTTTATTTTATCGCCAGCAATGGATCTCTTCGCCTAGGATTACCTAAACCTTAGGAAAATAATGTCATAGTTATTACATATGAGTAATAACTATTTTCAGGTCAGCGTATAAAATCAGACATATCCTCTAAATAGTACATAGGGTAGGTTTATATCGTGAATAGCCTAGCCTTGTGCCCTTTACTCCTACTATTGCTTCGTTGAAAATTAAAGGGCAGTATTATAAAGCGCGAACCAAGTCTCAAATCTAACCATAAAGTATCTTTCGTATGAAGTATTGTTTTTAGTATATGTATATGATGAGTTTGGGATGCTATAATTTTACGTACCTACATCATTCGATGTTATTTAATTTAACTTTAAATTATTTTTTTACCTTGCCCCACTCTTCTTTTATTTACCACCAGACGCCGCTTCTTTCTTAGTTTCTTAGCAAGTTTTATTCCTTGAAAAAAAACAAATTGCTTATCTTGGAAGTATGTAATTATAAATATCCATTAATTTATATGAAATACCTCCACTTTCCCCTGTCCGTAACTTATTTTCATTCGCCTGTAGGCTTTTCATAATAACTGAAATTTAAAATTTATGAGATATTGAATTTTATTAATAGACCGTGTCGTGCTTAGAGTCACCATTAGGAGTAACTGTGTTGCTACAGAGTTGCTTACTACAAATACGTTATCTTACGTCGATATATAATTATTATTCTGATTTAGATTATTTAATGGATTTAGTATGTCTGAATACGGTTGTATTATGCTAAATAATACTCACGTTTATATTTAGTCTTCTTCGGGTAACTGCTCATTTTTACCATTTGACCTAGATTGGATTAGATTAAAGAAATTTAATTTAACAAATTTTGTTACAGATTTCCTACATGCTTTGGAGTAATTAAAGTTATTTAACAGGTAAGTTAAATTGGTTTTTAAGTTAAAATTAAGCTATAATCAAAACCGTTTACGACGACATCCTTTAGAACAACATACCGGTTATATTGACCAAAATCAAAGGTCCCGGCTGAATTCTATTGTATTACTTACTACACTTCTATTGTGGTAAATAATAACGTCATCGGCTGTTACGACTATCGGTTTTTACGACCAAATATGCGTTATCCCTTCGATGTCGTTATAACAGATTTTGACTGTAATATGAACATTTTGGAGTAAAAGGCATTTAGAACGAGTTCAGAGACTCGGTGAAAGAGCAAAGCATTTTATACAGCAAAGCTATGATTTTGCCACCAGGGGCTGACATTTATTAAATTGAAACATAATTATTTACTATAACAATATGATGATGCATCCGTTGAGGCAGTAAAGTGTGAAATATCGGAATAATTTTATATATCAAATTATTAAAAGTATATGAAATTTGTTATAATTGAAATATATGGTTATTCACTGGTTCATTATATTATACGTACGCAGGTTGTTCCATAAATCAACGTCAACCCTAAATCGGATGATAGGGCAGGTAGTGGTTTAACCCCAAAAAATTAATAAAAAACTGTTACTTCTAAAATTATGGCCATTCAAAAAGTAAATGAATTTTATGCATCCTGTCATGTTCTCTTTATTCTTACATCCAAACCTTTGTAAGTTGTAACTAAAAACAATACCTATATATTTTTGAAGTTATACTTCTTTAGGCGCGTTATGAAAAATTGATGAGCGTGAAATTTTACGATGCGCGCCTACCGTGACACAAAATTATCAGAATGACCATAATGACCTTTGTAGAACCTTTTAAACAAATAAAGGAGTTTTAATTATTTTTTCAAAGAAATTTAGCAATGCTTTTTCACAAAGACCTATTGTTACTGACTTAAAAGGTTATGAAACATACCTAGTTATTAAATTGAATGAATAATATAATAAAATAATAATAATTATTATTATTGATATTAATTAATAATTGAATAATATACTAAATATTAAATATTATTAAATTATTAACGTTAAATATTTATTATTAATTATTTAATATTTAACGTGGATTTATGGGACGGGATATTTCTAAACAATAATTACAAATCGCCTATCCGTTAAAAATTATTTACAATAATAACTTTTCCCTTGCATACATATTGCCCGTTTAAAGTGGCGTACGCCATGGTATAATTTATAAAACCAGTAAAACTTAATACCTCGTAACAATACAGTCTCTCCTGGTTCAGTAGCATCCTCAGTATTATCAACGGCTAAAATAAATTTCATATTTATTACTTTTGATGAAACTGTTCATAAAAACATTCCCATTTCGTTGTAGTTTATTGGGCTCACCCAAGGGAGACAAATAAATAAAATACTAGAGGTGCTCTATTGATACATTTCATTTTCCAAAAATATAAAAGTTTTAAATGATTTTTGTTATGGACATAGAAAGGCCGACCATTTTGAATTAGGGTTGAACATTTAAAGATTACGTATGTTACTTTTGTGTGGTGTAGGCTTTTACGTGCCGTTTTATTTCTTAGAATTATTACGATTGGTGAAAAAAATACCTTCGCCACTGAGAGCGAGAGCTTGTAGGGCATCGAGTCCGTCAATGTCATTTTCTGTAAAGCACAAACGTTTAGCTTAATGAAAGGCGTATTTAAATATCTAGCTCTTGAAATTTCTTTTACATTTGATATTTCTTCGCCTCATTCACTAACTCATAATGAATTCTAATGTTTGTGATACTACTTCACTGACTATTCGTAAAAATAATTGTTTAAAAATCAATAAATCTACGATAATCATTACATAAATACCTGATAATGTAACTATACGTTTGAACGTCATAACTGAAAATAGAATGTTATTATTTTTACTATTATTCTGAGTAAGTGACTGATTGACTATTTGAGTAAATTTAAATAAGATTTGCGCTAGCAAATATCGGATAAGTCCATAAATAAATGATTTATTCATATTTAGGTTTAATAATAATAGAATAATAAAATTACAATCAACTATTTTAAAATTTATTAAGGTAGTTGCTTGAAATTTTATTTGTATCCAAATAATTAGATTCCCCAACAATCCCCAGTGCGCGATGTTAAATTGAGAATAAATTATAATAATATTAATTAAATTTATTGCAAGGAACCTACAGAACGCTTCAAACAGCTTATCAGCGAGTTGTTCAGGATTCTCGGAAGAGCTCACAAAGCCTTTTCCTTCTGAAAAAGTTTTACATTTTCTTTATTAACTCTTTAATGTTTGTAGCTAAGTTCATTACTTACTCACCTCCCGGATTTTTAACTGAAATTAACAAAACAGTTTCAGTCAAATGTCTAAAACTAAACTTCAAAAAATTAAAATTGAAAATTTACCTTTAGATAATAATTTTTGCGTTATTGGCAACAACTCCTGTGGTGTGAAAGTGTCACCTGTTGGCAAGGATGTTTGAAACCTATTTTACAGAACATTGACAAATATAGAGATTTTATTGATTCAAAAGAACACCTACCAACTGTAAACGGCCTTGCCTGAACTGAAATAAAAATATGTTTTAATCATTATAATTAACATCATAATTCATCTAATATAACAAACCTTCATTCTCATCATGATTAAGTGTATTGTTTTCATTAATTTCAGTAAACTTCTCATTTTCTCTTTCATTTGAAGGATCATTTTTGCTATTATTATCTTCATCGTTTTTATTCTCTGTAATTTGTGCTTCACTCCTATCTTGTTCATTATTTTGGCTCTCTTCAAGTTTCTGGCTTGTTCCAGAATTATTTTCATTACTCTGCTTAGCTTCACTATGGTTTTGGTCTAAGTCTTGGCTGTTTTGTCTGCTTTGCTCAGCGTTACTATTTTCTATAATTACTTCCGATTTTTCGTTATTATCCAGGTCTTCATTGCTTTTTAGTTGAGCACCTACCTCTTCGTTTTCATTTTGCTCAGTCTCTCCTCCTCTGATACCTTGAAATTAAATAAATTCGTTTACGAACGTTTTATCGTGAGATAAGTTGTTTGATTTTACCTTTTTTTCTTTTGTGTCTCTTAAGATACGAGGAGGATATCTGCATAAAAACCATTCTAATTATTATGTTATTGTATTTGATAAATCAATAGATTCCGAAAGTCATACATACCAGGTCACAAAGAACTAAAATAAGAAAAATATACAAAATTCCCGTTCGATAAATCATTTTCAATTAAAATGGCTCGTTACTTCTTACAAAAACCAATTTTCTGATAAAATATAGTAATATTAGTTATGTATAACTATGAGCAATCACATGGTCGTCAATCTAGGTTTTGTTTGACTTTAAATGTTGAATGATTTGTTCATTACCAAATACACAATGGAGCTAAAACGATGAGCATTTGTTTATTTCGCATATGAAAAATAATTTGGTGCTGGGGTTTGAATGCACTAGGCTTACATTGTATCCTATTATAGCCCAATAGCTAACACTATTTTGAAAGTACTGATTATAGCACCTTTTCAGAGAGTACTATTATCTACGCTTGTTAATTAAATTTGATAAATTAATAAATTATATTTTAGGTGATGATTTTATATATATTTTAACAAGCCAGCACGAATTATATATATATATAATTCGTGCCGGGTCAGCTATATATATATATATACTAGCTGACCCGGCAAACGTTTGTTTTGCCATGTATATTATTTCCAGGAAACATTTTTTTTAGTTCAATAAAAATAACTATCTAAAATAATAAAAAATAGTCGTTGATCATAGAGGGGTGTAAATTAGGAGTTGTATGTATTTTTGTATGCTGTATCATAAAAAAAAACAAATTAAAAAAAGAAAAATTTTATCCTTATCACTTAGGGGTTTGAAAGATAGATAGTAGCCGGTTCTCAGACTTACTGAATATGCATAAAAAATTTCATAAGAATCGGTCAAGGCGTTTCGGAGGAGTATGGGAACGAACATTGTGACACGAGAATTTTATATATATAGAGATAATCGTCAAGTGCATTTTTTATATAACCTTGATAAATGTTAGTCAAGGAAAGGTTGTACCTCTGTATCTAATACAAAAGCTATACTTATCTGCATTTATTGCAATCCCTACCATGACTATATATTCCATTGTCGGCTAGTTACACCATTAAGAGCACTCTCACCGTAGAGAAAATGTACAAATCACAATTGAGTTTCGTAAAGGAAGCATTGTTCTTTTATCAAGATCGTATTCTGTTGGGTATATATCAAATATTCTAAAACTAGCCATCCATGCAATACGTTTTCTAAAATAATAGATTTCGAAGATAGTCTAATGTAACAGGGCCTTAATTATATTTAGTAGTTTTGGCTAGTGATGGTAAGGAAAAAGGAAACTTTGTTAAATCTATAAACTAACGAATTTTACTTACATACATTATTGACAGCTTAAACGCTGCGTAGATTTATTTAATAGTAACATTTATTGATTTCTAGTACAAATGTCTTCTCATTTACATACAAAGCTTATTTCATATACTTATAAATATACAAAGAAACTGTAGACGTAATGATCCATTCAAACGTTCCCTATCATCAAGTCTTCAATGTGAACAGACATATGAAATATGAGTTGCAAACGATCGATTTATTACGAATAACCTCGAAATCTGTAATGCCGCCCTCGTCACATAATTTTGCCGAGAGACGCGCCGTCTAGACAGGCGGGTGCAGACTTGCAACTATTATATACTATAAACTCGATTGTAACCACTTCCCGCTCTTATGCAGGAAGTACAGCCTATTTCTATCGAATTGGATGGAAGTAAGTGTGACAGGCTCTTACCGTAAGTGCTATATTGACATCTGAAGCTATTTAGGAGATACTTTTTAGACACTGTCGTATTCTTTTATCTTGTAAAATCAGACATGCAATCGCTATACATTTTATTTTTCATTTCATTTTGCAAGTATGCTACAAAGAAAAACTGTTATTTATTTACATCAATGGTGAAAATCACATGGATTTATGAAGCCCATTTATGTATCATATAATAAATAATATTTTCGAAAGAAATACATTAAAAAGAAAGAAACATATAAGAAAGTATCTCAATACTTAAAGTTAGGTTTACGATGTCAAAATACTTGAAATAATCTAAAGGACAATCTTAAGTATCCAGAGATGCTATAAATGCGATTTTAAGCCTTCCGTTGCTGTACTTGGTTTAATCTTGGTGGAAAACGGATAGATGACGTGCCTCAAGTCTGCGTAGTTTTGCTAGTTAGATAGAATAGAATATTTGGTTATTAGATTTAACGAATACCTTACTACTATTTGTATTTGTGTATTGTGTTGTCAGGGCTGCTATAAATTAATTTATTATTAATTAATTTATACAATATTGTCTTAAATATTATATTGGTAGCTTTAACATTTATAGAATAACTTTTAGGAAACTTGAGTTTTTTACTGTACCAAGACAAAGTTGCCTGCAACCGACTGCTTTTTTCTATCTCTATACCTTTATAAGTTTGATTCGGTTTTAATTAATTTATGAATTAAGAAGGATCTGTAAATAATATTTCAACAAATGCATGTACTACCTCAGCTACACTAGCTCGTTATCAATAGAAATATATTTGCTATAAAATAAATGTAAGTCAAGTTCATAATGATTGACGTCCGCGTCGCGGGCGGGCGGGGAGTGAGGGCGCCACTTTCCCAGGCTACAGCTGCGTCCGGGAGGGATGACGTCATTGTTGCCTTGCAAATGCAGTAACACAGGATTTCCTTCATTACACATGTCACATATGGGCTACGGGTTTCTGTAAATCTATTATAGTAATATTGACACAGTAAGCCATTTTAATTGGCCAACCCCACTAGCCTCAAATAGCTAGTTTATTGTATGTCCTTATCACATTCATTGCCTTTAGAAAGTAAACAAAACATTTACTAATTAAAGGAATAGTACGTAGTAGATTTTAGTTTTTCCACAAGACTCCAGAAATAAATAATGTCGCAGAATGTAAGGTATAGTTTGAATTTACAATTTTCTTTACCTACAGAGTAATAATAAAAATTATTAAAAAGAAAATTAAAACAAATTTAAAAAAATTGGTCCCTGTGGCAGTGTACCTTTAACGCTGGCAGCATTTCCTCGCTGTATTGCGATACTTATTCGTTGAGCCAGGAAAGCTGTCACCGGTACTACTAGGCGTAAACTTAAATCTTTAATAAGTGTGTGCACTTGAACCACACGGCCTAATAGTCTCTACTCCAAAGGGAACAAAATCGAAGTATATTTGTGCCGAATAATAATATAATATATTATAATCACGTTTGGTATGATGCAACTATTGATTTTTTCTTCTTCGACTTGTGTATTATTAATACAAATGACATGATTCATGATCGAATATGCGATGTTTCACTCGTATGCATTTTTGAAAGCGTATTTGCTAAACATTCGTCCACCTTTCTCCAAAGTGAAAGAATCAAATTGTTGTATGTCACGCTCAAATTCGCATCATTTGCAATGATTGTAACATTTTATTTGTGTAGTATATATAATCACCCATACTTAACATCATAAAGCATCGAATAGTTGTTTGAACACGAATCTCATGAAACACTGATTCGAAGTGAAAAATTAATTTTTGTATTCAAGTCTGTTTAACGGACGAACCTGCACGGTAGTTTAGGATTATGATGAGTTATTTAAGACTACCGATGAACTAATGATTAAACATCTTTTTATGTTTCAAGAGTGCTCGGATCCGTCATAGTAAGTGAGAGTAGACGAAGATCTCATTGTTGAAGAGCAGTCGACAGCTTCCATTCTTCGTGCTGAATTCTGACAAAGTTAAGATGCCCGCTTAGTACCATTGAGTGTTCTTGAAATACTTGAACTCCAAAAGGGGATATACCACCACCAAATACTACTAAACTCATCCATATAAAATCTATATGTATAAAACTCCTATCATGTGTTTTTTATACTCCTTTAAGAATATTTTATAGATAAAAATGGAACAAAAACTACATTTCATATAGCTTTAGGGCTTTCAGGTGTTTTCTATTATTAGATTTTTGAAGTTATACTTCTTTGGGCGCGTTAGGGAAAAATTATGAGAGTATATTTTTACGATGCGCGCACACACCGTCACAAAAAACCGACACCCTGAAGTTAGCTATAGTCAACATTTTAGTTTTTTCTATTGTTAGTGTTGTTTTTCTACAAATTTGATTCTACGTTGTTCTACAAACGTAGAATCAAATTTTTGAAAAGATTTTTATCTTGTTACGCCAAAGAAGTATAACTTCTTACGTGTGTACATATAAGTAATTAATAAAAGGGCGCTTATTGTGACGTTACTATAAAAGATAGAGACATGCTGTCGCGACATTTTTTATAGATAGTGATGTGTTCTGAAAAATTGAAATACATCATTTTGTTCTATCATTAATAGTTTACGCAGCGCACGCGATTGAAGGAAGCTTTTTTGTTTATTTTTTTACACCTTGGGTTAGATTATTCAAGTTTTAGTAAGCATCCCTAATTTTTTTGAAAATTAAACATAGCCTATGTCACTCGGGAATAGTGTAGCTTGCCAACGTTGAAAGAATTTTTGAAATCGGTCCAGTAGTTTCGGAGCCTATTCATTTCAAAAAACAAAAAATCAAATCTTCATAATATTAGTATAGAAGAAGAGTGAATGCTACGACTTAATTAACGGAACTGCAGCTCTCAGTTTGTATTTATATAGAACATAATAAACTAGTTGTAAATAACAAGGGAGAAATACGATTACGCAATTTCGATGTTCTTGCGATTGGCGTAATAAATTATTATGAAAATTTTTATTCAGTCTGTATCCCACGACGTTCACATTTGGCAGACAGCCAAAAGGAAGAGAATCCTGGCGCAGATTCAGGACATTTTGATATTATCAGCCTTATCGTCTGGATCTACTTATATGAAAATTTATTATGTAAGTTACTCAATGGTAATGTAATCCGTATACATAAACAAAACTCGGTCGTATGATATTAAAGGTGTAAAGAATAAAAGACTATTTGAATATAAAGCAAAGTGAAATGTTTTTTATTT